AAAAATGGAAACAAACTCTTTGTAAATAGGGAGGGATGGAGGGGTTGAATGGAGGGCTGGGGAATGGGTAAAAAATAAGAACCATGATATATTACGTAAAGGTGCAAATTTCCAGTGATGGATGTCATTATATTGTATACTAAAATGTGCCAAGAAAATTAATTTAATAAAAAATTTAAAAAGAGAAAGAGCTCCTGATGGTTAAATCCAGAACAAAATGTCGCAGCACCAGAATAGAACCAAGATCTAATACATATCCATGAGTTCATACTATTACAAAAAATGGTTGAATAAATAAATAAGTAAAGAAGAGACAAGGGGCCGGGACTTAGCTCAGTGGTTCTGCCACCTGCCTCAAAAGCATAATGTCCCGAGTTCAATCCCCAGTGCCAAAAAAGAAGAAGAAGAAGAAGAAGAAGAAGAAGAAGAAGAAGAAGAAGAAGAAGAAGAAGAGACAATCTTCTGTGCAGAAGAATCCCAAATAATCTGTGCAGATACTCCACCTTGCAGGAGGTGAAGCACACCTCCCTACTCTCAGTCTGTGATATACATATGGACTTTATTCTGAAATGTACAGTACGAAAATAAAGGGGAAACTTATTTTTATTTTTTAGGTGTAGAATGTCCCCCAAAAGTCTCATGTGTTCAAAGGTGGAGATTTTGGATTAACCCATTGATGTGTTCATAGCTGAATGTGCTATTATGAGGTGGTGCCTGATTGGAGGAGTTGAGTCACTGAGGTTGTGACCATGAAGGGTGTATTCTTATCCCTGGTGTCTCTGCCCTCTCTCTCTCTCTTTCTCTTTCTCTCTCTTTCCTTCCTTTTCCCTCTCCCTTTACATTTCCCCCCTCTCTTCTTCTAGTTGCACTAGGTGAGAGCTTTCCTCTGTCATGTCCCTCTGCCATGATACCTTCTTCTACTTTTACTCCTAACACAATATGGCATTAAGTTAGAGATGTGTACATACACACATGCACATGCATGCAGACATACACATACAGAGTGGTGTGCTGAAATAAACTCAAACCAGATAGTGAGACTCAATTGTTAAATTTTCAGTAATCCTCTAAGCCAGTCATTAAACATGGACATTATTAAAAATCAAACTACGAAATTAAAACTAAATTGTTAAAAACAAAAGTAACTTACTATGATCTATATTTTGAGGTTATACTTGTTGAACTAATATGGTGGCAATACTATATAATGGTGTGCTATTTACCAACTCTGCATTTGGCAATGTCACCAAATTGGAATGCTGAAATCAGTCCTGGGTGGAGTACTTCTACGAGAGATATTTAAAAAGCTCTAATCAGGTCTTGAGTTATTGTTTTGCTAATTATCTACTTCAAAATGTAATGGAGGGAATGTTACTATTATAGGTTAAAATGTAAAATATCCATAGCTGTTACAGTGTGAACAGCACAAAAAACTGAGAAAATGCAGTCATGAATCATATATTGATGTTTTGGTCAACAACAGACAGTCTATACAGTGGTATTTTAATAAGATTACTATGGAACTGAAACACCTATATTACTTGGTGATGCTGTAACTGTTATAAAAACATAGCCCAGGTGGCTACAGCCTTTGCCATGAACAGCATAGGAGAGGCTTGCACTGACATGAAGCGAGAGTATGACCAGTGCTTCAATCGCTGGTTTGCCAAGAAGCTTCTCAATGGAGACGGTTCTGGGGACCCATGCACCAATCTCTTCAAGCGCTACCAGCAATGTGTTCAGAAAGCAATGAAGGAGAAAGAGATTCCTACTGAAGGACTGAAGTTCATGGGCCAAGGCAAAGAAAAGCCTGAAAACTTCTTGAACTTAAAATGGATTCCTCATCAGGAAATTGAGGACTCTGGATTTTGTCAACTAAGGCTCTGAATATAGCCATGGAATTGATGAGTTTAGGGGGGAGGATTTTTATTTCTTCCTTCTTGATGTTTTCTTCTCACTTGAAAATGATGAACCATCACTCTGCTTTGAGATGATTTCTCACTTGTTCTGGCATCTTGCAGGAACTCAGTGTGCTAAAATTGAACCATTTCTTGAGATTATGATTGCAATATGTGGTCTGGAATTAGCTTTAAATATATCTTGTATATAAATAATGATAAATTAATCAAGATGATCAGGGTTTCCTGATGTCTTGACTTTGCTGCAAAAGACATTACACTGTACTGGGGTCATTGTTTATGAAAGCATTTGGTTAGGACCTCTTTCTCTCTCACAGGGAGTAAAGACCCCATAAAAAGGGATCTGGGCACAACAGTTGCAATCAGTACTTGGGAGCACAGTTTTATTTTTATATAGTGACTAACAGTTAAGTTTGTGGGTGACCTGGGTTAGCAAAGAGGAAGACAGCTGTTAACACTTCCTGCCTCAGGTGTCTAAGACATGAATGCTTCAAGAATGTTGACGTAAACACCATTTCAGAGCTTACAGTGTACAGCTGAGGAATCACAGTATTTGCAGTGCCTGTGGAAGAAACACCTATAACAGAGATTTGGTGTTGCCAGCTTTCAACCCAAGTTAATGAATTGAGTCAACATGCCTATCATAAAAAAGCCAAAATCCTGCATCTGGTTAAAGTGGAGGGGAAAGGTGCTTGCTTTATTTGCTTTCTTTGCCTGTCTTATAATGTCTGTAATCATGAAGATGGAATAAACTCTGACATTTAGTTTTCAAAAAAAAAAACATAGCCCAAAACACTGCTCATGTGCCTGTGGGGATGCTATTGTAAATAAATATATTGCACTGTCAACCATATAAAAGGATATCACATACAATTATGAACAGTACATATACTTGGTAATGATAATAAGCAACAATGTTTTTGATATATGTATTTACTATACTATACTTTTATCATTATTTTAGACTGTAATTCTACTTATAAAAATATTCATTGTAAAACAGTATGCTGTGTTACATCAACAGCCTCGCACATCTTGTGTTTACTATATTTTTTGACTGCAAGAAGCCATATGGAGTGATTAACCTAGATTTCTATGAGTATATTCTATTATGTTTGCACTATGACAAAATCACCTAATGATGTATTTTTCACAACATATCCTTATTGTATTGACTGTATTGTATATGACTGTATTCTTCAAGTGCTTGAAAACTATTTTCCAATTCACCAAAAAGTTATTCATGTTCAGCAGGGTAAATTTCAGACATTTGACTCTTATTTTACTTGTTAACATACATAGAACAACCAAACAACATTCATGTCAGAATTACTCTCATTTGTCTATTGCAATCATAGGTTGGCTAAAGATACAAGATTGGGAAAAGCAATAAGAGTATTTTATGAAAATCAATTGGCTATATAGAATTTACAAGAAGGAGTATTGCTTATTTTAGTTTTTGTAAGTTGTATGCTACATATCCTTTATATCAGTAAAATCTGTAATGTGTGTGTCTGCTTGTGATTTTCCTCTAGAGAGATGGTTGTTAAACAGTAGCACACTATGTTTCTGTATACTCTAACAAGAATATGGGAGTTAGTTGTAAGATAAATGAGAAAATATGCGGTTCTACCCAGTAAGTACAATCTTAAGGAGATGAATCCACAAATATGGTTGATATTTCCACAAGACATCTTTCTGAAGAATTATGTCTTCAATTAAGTATCACCACAAATTCTGTTGATATGAGACATATAAATCCATATTATTGCCAGAGTTTCATCATCAAATCAGGTTTGAAGATGATGAGAACATAAGAGCATAAGAGAGAAATCAATTAGATGTGTTAATTAGAAATCTGATATAAACTATATTGTGTGTCTATAAAATTCATATATTGCTAGTATGCTCGGTGCAGGAGCCAAGAGATCCAGAGATCACTTGAAGTAGTGGGTGCACCAACATGTCCAGTGGTTCCAGCACCGGTTATGGCCCCAACATTACCTTTTTTGCCTGAAGGTTGGTTTTACTAAGCAGAATATGCTTTTAAGGCTATTAACCAGTGTGGCCTGGCATCAGTAGCTGTCAGAGGTAATACCTGTCTCGTAATTGTCCCACAAAAGAAAATACCTGAAAAATTATTGGATTCCAGTACAGTGACTCACTTATTCAAGATAACTGAAAACATCAGCTGTGTGATGACCAGAATGACAGCTGACAGCAGATCCCCAATACAGAGGGCAGGCTATGAGGCAGCTAATTGGAAATACAAGTATGGCTATGAGATTCCTGTGAACATGCTGTGTAAAAGAATTGCTGATATTTCTCAAGTCTATAAACAGAATGCTGAAAGGAGCCACTTGGTTGTTGTATGATTTTAATTGGTATAGATGAAGAGGCCCTCAGGTGCCACGACCCACACAGCATAGGGTCCGAAGGTGGGGAGAACGGTGGGAGATGAAGAAAGATGACGAAGAACAAGATTACTCTTAGCTGGGACCAGGTGGAACTATAGCTTGTCGGGAGCTAATGGCCACCCGGAGCACCACAGGCTCTTTATTTATAGTGGAAGGCAAACAGGAAGAGAAGGCGGGGCAAATAGTGCTACGTGGCCTAGGAGGACCGTTAGCGTGATTGTTTTGTGATCCAGGCATGCACAAGAAGGGAACAGGGAAGGATGCAAGGTAACTGTCTCCCGGGGCTGTGCCATCCAGGGTCTACAATATAGAGGGTCTCTAATCTATGGAAGAGAAAGGAAGTAGGGAGGAGAAAGGGAGCAGGGAGGAGAAAGGGAGTGGGGAAGAGGCAAAGGACCATCCTTAGGCTCAGCCCTGGGCACTCAGGGGTACAAGTGTGACCTTGCAGGTTGCTACTGTGGACTTAAAACCACTGCAGCAAGTGTTAAACAAACCGAGTCAACCAGCTTCCTTGAAAAAAATAAAGTGAAGAAGAAATTTGGACATTTGAACAGACAGTGGAAATTGCAATTATATCTGTCTACTGTCCTCTCAATTGGTTTCAAACCTTCAAACATAGAAGTCAGAGTAGTTAGAGTTGAAAATTCTAAATTCAGGATTGTTACAGAAGCCAAGATTGGTGCTCACTTTAGTCTGTGTTTGGTAACAACAGACCAACGTTATAAAGGCCCTTGGATAGAAAAAAGCACCTCTTCCACTCCTAACGCTGAAGTGGTTAGGACTCTGTATAAATGAGAATAGTGCTTTTGGAAAATAACATAAAATTCATATGTTGAAACTATATCCCCCAATGTGACAGAATTTAGGGACAGAGCCTTCACAGAGGTAATTAAGGTTAAGGGAAATTTTCAAGTACATCTCCTTTGCTTTATAACTATACTGATAGCAAAAGAGCACTTGGGACTACTCTAATTTAAACTAATTAAATATGTAATTCAGCTCCTTAATCACATTAAGCACCTTTCAAATGTTAAATAGCCACATATGGCTGTTACTATATTGAACAGTGTAGAAATGGTACAGTTCCAAAACATCATAGATAGTTATTTTGGACAGATCATCATAGAAAGTTCTTTTGGATAGCACTACCAGAAACCAATGCACTTTGAAAATAAAACTTCCATTTAGCTTTCAGGACCTCTCACTTGTATGGTTTCCTTTTAAAGCCCCTATATGGTTTTGAATTTGTAGTTTTATATTATTTTTCTTAGAGAAGACCCCCAAAATTATTAGTTTCATTACTCACAAAACAGATCTGAGTCTGATTGTTATATACAAATTTCCTGTGTTTTCCAGTCTGTGGCAGTGTCTTAGTTCAAAAGGCCAGAGGAGCTAGGAATCTCCTAGTTTTGCTTTCAAATTGAACCATATTGTATGGCTATATACAGTCAAAATCTTGTAACTTATCATGTTATATCCTTAGATATATGGGTGTTAAAAGTGGAAAAACCTAGAAATGGAGATATGGGAGAGTGGAAATTAGGAAAACAGCCCTATATGTTTCTGCTGCAGAGTGAAAATTATAAAGTAGCTGATAACAGTACATATTGACCTCTAGAAAATTTCAAGAATGACTGTTTTTTAAAGAATTAAGAAAAAGCAAAGTTGCCTGTATTCAGGTAACTAAGAGTAAGAAATTGTGCCTTCACCAAGATGTATAAACAAATAATGGTACTCATTTTCTATTATTAAAATAAAATTTGATTATAGATTCATGTTAGCCAGAAAAACACTAATTTATTTAACTGATTTAAAAACCAAGAGAGAGAGATGAGGGTAAGAGTGTTTGTACAGCAAGGTTTTCTAGCCTAGAAAGTGGAATTAAGATAATAGGAACTCTGAACTGGAAGAAGAAATACAGAACATGCTGTTAGAGACCAAGACAGCGACTTTTTAGCTAGTAAGATTTTGGTATGTCTGAAAACAATATGGGGCAGAATAACACCAGGATCTAACAAAAGGCAAGAATATTGACTAGCAAAGTTTTGTAAACAAGGCCAAATCCAGGTTTACTCTATCCTCTCAGCAAGTTCTGAAATTATTTAATAATTATTTAGATTGGAATTTTTATTTCCAGAAAGTGTGAGGAAAGGTAACTTCTAACACTTCACCTATAAGGAATCAACTAAAAGTTTGGAATAATTTTTTTTTTTAAAAATATCTTAAATGGACAGGAAAGCCAGCAAGCTAGTAAGGCATTCCCAGGGGAAAAAGCTGCAGGAAAAGTAGAAAGGCAGAGAGGTCAGTAGCCACAAAAGTAAATTCACTTGTACCTGCCTCAAAGCAAGGGGAACAGAAATAAAAGCCCAGACCTGCTCTGTTTTTCCAGTTCAGGACCATCAGAGAGTTACACCTTCAGGGTAAAAAGTAAATAGAAACAAATCGGCCTGTCCAGATATTTACAACCCAGGTCTACATTGCCTAAGTGGGTCATCATGGACCTCAAGCCATAAATTTGATTAAAGTTGCACCTGGACTAGAAGTCCTCTGC